GAGAGAGAGCTACTGGCTCCCTTTCCCACACCCAGGTCTTGGTCACGTACGCCATGTCTACATTCTGTTCTTGCAGAAAGTCCCGAAGGACCATGGTCTTATTGTTTATAGACCTGGCGTTACACAATGTTGGAGTGGGGTTAATCATCCTAGCCCCACTACCAACATCCCATGGGATGGGATGCAGGCTGGAAGGGGGCAGAGCTATTCTATTTCTCTGCCCCCTTCCCTTAATTCCCTGCCTGGTCCTACCACTATACTTTCCCCTCTCCAGGAGCACTGGAATCCTGTGCCCGGACCTCGCCGCGTCCCGTGGTCTACGCAAGCCTCAGACTTACTGGAGCCAGGGCCTTTTCAGTGGTGGCTCCACACTGGTGGAATTAGCTCCTGGATGACATCAGGGCCCTGCGGGACCTTTTACAGCTCCACAGGGCTCCTCCAACAGGCCTTCAATTAGGAACCGCCACTGACGACTGAGCCACCTGAACATACTATGGCTCGTATGATACACTGCTGGATATTGCCTTCCATGTATAATTTATTGTATTTTATTGTATTTACTGTTTTATTGTATTTTAATGTTTGTACGCCGCCTTGAGCCAGTTCCCTGGCAAGGCAGAATATAAATTGAAAATAATAAATAAATAAATAATAAACTGTCATTGTCACACACATCTGTACCTTTGTCAGAGATGCAAACTGATTTAAATCAGATGGGGGGGACCCAAACCCAACATTGTGGAGAGATTATAATCCTATAATAAACTGTTTCACTGTTCTCCACCACTGAATTTGCTCCAAAACTACATTTCTTTAAGGTAATTTTCAGTTAAATTTGTTTAATCTGGCCCCATTGATCTCCTGATGGCACCTGGTATTTTTGGCCACTGTGTGACAGAGTTTGGACTGGATAGGCCATTGGCCTGATCCAACATTGGTTTCTCTTATGTCCTTAATACATTCAAACGGTTCCCCCAAAGCTGCAGTGGGTTACAAAAGGGTTCTTCCTTTGTTTTGGTTTTCATGGTAAGGTGAGTGAGTCACTACTTGGTCACTACTTCAAGGGGATGGAGTTCTGATTCCTGTAAGTACATAGTGATTCACAAACATTATATGATTGTGGAATATGGGTCAAATACTGCAGGATTCTCTATAAAGAAGCTTCAGATCTTGGGTGGTCCAGTTGAATTAACTACCTCCGTTACGGGCATCTTTTAAAAACATATCTCACTGTCAGTTAAGGAGAAAGGTTGTTTAATACACAGCAAGGATATGTTGTGCTGGAAACTTTAATTTTAAAGGATATTTGAAACAGGAAAACTACAGTGGTGGAATCATGGGCCCATCACCATGAGCCCCATGGGCAGTACTACATTGGGGATCACTGTGTCAGGACCCACAGTCAAGCAACTGAGTACACGCTTCTTCAAAGGTTATACTTTTATTGCCAGTACAGTGGTAGCATGAGCATAGTCACTGTTAGGAATAGTGAACCCCTAGACTCAGGGAGAGATATAGTAGATTCAGAAGCACCCCTCACACACACTACAGGCCAATCGGCCTGACTCCCGCAAGCGGGAACAATTACCTGGGCCGTTAATACTAAAAGCTGGAAACCGAAGGATGAGTTATGTGGCGACACTACATCTGCAGCCCAAAAGGTCAGAGATAAGGAAAGGAGAAGTGCAGGGAAAGGAATGCGGCTCAGGCTGGTACACAGAAAGGAGGGGCCCCTTAACCTTATGGCAGCATAGCTGACACGTCCCTGGCAGTTCCCGGGAAGGTGATCCACACACCAGCGGCTGGGGGGGGATTGTCCGCCACCCCCCTGGAGCCTTTGTGATAGGCTCCTAGCTATGGGGCTTTTGAAGGGTGGCCTCTTCACCAGCGCGATGCTGGGGAATTGAGGCACTCTTCCGCCCCCACGGTCCGTCCGTTGTGTGTCCGCAATGGCACTCAAGCCGCTGACCGGGACAAGCGTTGGAGATTGGGCATTTTACATGTACCTTTGCTGAGGTCTCCAGACCAACAATGAACAGTTAGTTGAGTTAAATGAAAACACTTTGATTATAAAAGAAAGCTCCCCTGGGAACGGCGAGATTAGTGAGCGGGAGAGGGCCCCCTCCCATACGCATGAACGAAGTAATGATTTTTTTAAGGGGGAGCTGAAGCATAAGCGTGGAAATCTGTTTTGAGAAACACACCGGAGCACCAATAAGCATTTGGGTGAATTGCAGAAACTTTAGCAGATTCTTTTTAAAAGTAAACAATCCGCTAACATGGCAGGGGGGGAAAAGGAGAAGGAGAGGCAAACGAAACTAAAACCACCTGGAAGTATGAGCCCACGACCGGAAGATACCACCGAGTTTTCTAAACTGTTAGCAGACTCTTTGTGCCCTCTGTTGGACCAAATGATGAACATCAACCAACAGCTGACAACATTAAACCAGAACTTTGCAGCTCAGCAGCTCCAATTGAACGAAACTAAAAAATTGTCAGAGCAAACAGCTGAGAAGGTGAAGGTAATGGATACCAAATCAAAAAAGGTTTAAAAAGGGTGCAGTCGTTGGAAAAGAAGCAAATTTCTTCTGAATCTCAGCTATTGCAGATACAAATGGAGAAAGCCAACTTCGTTCTTCGATTTCAAGGAGTCCCTTAGATGAGAATCTAAAACAAATGTTGAGTGAGGCATTGGCTCCAATTACAGATTTAAAAACGGAATATCTTACAAGCGAAATGGATGTAGTTTATAGAGCCTATTCCGTATACATCAAAAAGAATAATCTGCCTGGAGAGATAGTGGTAAGATTCTCAAAGAGACATGTGAGGGATCGAATTCTGAAAGCAACATCAGGAGTACCCTGGAAAATTGGAGGCGTCATGGTTCAGAGATGCAATAACACAACCTCAGCTGACTAATTGGAAAAGAGCAAGGATGACCAGGTATGGAGATATAACAACTAAAAAAGGTATCTTACCCAAATCTGCAATTGAACATAAACTAGGAAGCAAAGTACCCTGGTTCCTTTATTTACAACTCAAACATGCCACAGAACAAACACATATGAAAGAAACGATGGGAAGGCCTCGCACAGATTTAGAATTTCTTTTTCACAATTTTGAACACACTGACAAAGGGTTGATATCAGCGACCTACCAACTTCTAAACTCAACAAATTTACCAAAAGATATCTCCTATCAAAAGTTATGGCAAAAAGACTGCAAAACGCAACTTGATGATAACTTTTGGAAGGAGGTTTGGGAGACTAAGCATCCTTATCCCAATTCTATACCATTGGAGATGCAGGACTTTAAAATTCTAACAAGGTGGTAGCTGACCCCTCAACGTTTATCCCGCATATATCCAACAAGTTCTCCAAAATGCTGGAAACAATGCAATGGAACAGGCACATTTGCTCACTTATGGTTGGAATGTGAGAAGATTGCTGGATTTTGGAACGACATAAAGTCTATCATTTTTAAAATAACAGGTATAACAATCCCATTAAACCCGGAAAGTCTTTTTTTAAAACATTGGCCACTTCACATTGAAACACACAAGCATAAACAGATCTTAGATATTATGATCTTCGCAGCCCGTACAGCAATTGCCACTTGCTGGAAAGACCCAAAACCTCCAACTGTGACACTGTGGTACCAAAAATTGTGGGATCAATTCCTTATGAATTCTGTGACCAGCAAAATAAATAAAACAGCACTGAAACCAGTGCTTAGACCCATAATGGACAAATGGACCCCTATACTAGAATTTTTAGCCTCAGAGGAATACCTACCTTCTTCTTGGCAACACATGCAGAAATGGTTGTAATTGTTCTTGCACTTTGGTGATCAAAAATGGATTATATCTCTTATTACTTTCTAGAATAAGCTCATTTTACACATGACCTATACTCACCTATGGATTTATATATAACAGAACCAAGAGCCTTTCAGACAACATGGCTTGTTATGCACAGCAGTTATATTTGCTAGAAAATAGTTGTATTTTACTTAGATATGAAAAATTTTGACTCTGTTAAAGTTTATTTGCTGGATTATTGTACTGAATTCACATGTTACTTGTTATTTGTCAAAATCAATAAAAATTATAAATTAAACAAAAAGAAAATTGGAGGCAACATCATCAGGATTTTAAAAGATATCCCATTCGAAATAAGGAAGAAGAGGAAGGAATATAAAGACTTGATCATGTTTTTACAAACAAACAGCATTCCTTATAGAAGGTTGGTTCCTGAAGGTGTCCTTTTCAAAATTAAGGATAAAAAAGAAAAGATTGACTTTGTTTTCAAAGCACGGGAGTTTCTGAGTCTGCAACTGGGAGAGTCTGGTGAGGATGGCAAAGAAGATGGAGACAGTAAACCTAGCGATATAGCTACTTCCTCTAATTCTACTTCCAAAGAGGACTCTACTTCCAAGAAGGGGGCAGCGGCCCCCAAACGCGATTACCAATTGAGGATTAGAAAGGATAAAAGAAAATGAAGGCTGAAGAACTCTGAATTGTGCCTTATAAGCATTTATTAAATGTTGATGCTCTTGTGATTTTCTTTAAACAGTGAAATTAATAAATATAAAGACAAATAATATAGCTTACACAACCATGTTCAATGTAATCATAGCATTGTAGACTAAAACTGATTCAAGCTGTTGTAATGATCTCCTATACTTGGGTTTTTAGTGGTTTTCTTTCCTTTCTCCCTTAGTTGTAGTTCCCCCCTCCCTTTTTTCATTGTAGTTTATAGAAAATGCAATAAAAAATCCCCTTCGGGGGACAAAAAAAAAGTGTACTAAGGATTGGTCTGTGTATTTTTCTAGATGACTTTATGCAAGGTGTGCTATTGCCCTTCCTCTGCAATATAGAGTTTCTGTAAAGCGCTATACAAATGCCATGCATTACTATTTACAAATGGAGGAAACATTGTTATGTCCTGGGTCATTGTACAGAGTCCCAGTCTGTTAAAGTTCTGTCTTCTCTTTTGCAGTGAATTAAGGCAGCGAATTCAGCAACAAATAGCTCTCTCATTTGGTATCAGCTCCTCTTCCATGTATTTGACCAAGCCAACCTTCTTCTCCAGAATAAACAACTCTGAAGCCAAAACAACCCATGATGAGTACTGGCACCCACATATTGACAAAGTAAGTGGGATGATGAAAGAAAATAATATCTGGTTTTCAAATATAGTCTCCAGTGTACTGTTTTCTATTTTGGTGAACTGGTACTGTAATTATTGCATTCAGTTAAGTCTCTGAGCTCAATAGTGATTGTTCCCAATTAAGAGGGCCTACGACCGGACTGTAAGTTACTATTCCGTTTTCCAGATGGAAAAGTTAGGATTT